CTGTGTCTCCTTTCTCCCTCTCCCCCCTCCTCTCCCCCTCTCCCCCCCTCTCTCTCTCTCCTTCTCAGTTTTGTTTATAATGTTGAGCTGTTTGACAGATATCACATTCCCCTTTGATGCTTTTCTAATCTAATGGCCCGGTTACAGGTAACGATAAATTGAATCAGATTCGTCGTATGCGAGAACTGTCCGTTTTATCGAGCTGTGTAGTCTGTTTAGACGTTCCAATCTATCGTCCAGTTTTCTTTCGATCAGTACTGGGAGATTCCTCATCCTTGACTTGACTGCAGATGTGCAACTCACAGGGTGACCTTGATACACAACTTCACCATTGACGATCAACTAATAAATAATAAAAATTGCTAAAATATACATAATAACGCATCAAATCAGGTTCCCCGCGGGCAACTTTGCTTATAATTTTGAGATGCTGATTCCGAATATAAAATCAGTTTTTACCTCTAAGTTTAATCCTGCGCGGCGGCAAATTTTAAAGGGATTCCTCGTCACAGCGCGTTTCCTCCAAATCTGACCGTGATCGCACGAAAAATATCAAGCAGCGCTTGATTGCTCGACCGAGTCTCCAACTCCAAGCCATCGTCCAATCGTCCAAACTTTTTACAATTTTGTGGTTACAATTTGTCTCATGATCGATACATCGTCCCGTTTTTGTACATTTTATCGTTGCGTGTAACCCGAGCTTTAGCGCTTACATAATACATTTCAATGTGTACATTATATGTAATGTTTCCTTGTGAAAAGTTGGAATATTTTTATAGTATGTATCTGACTCTGTATATAGGCTGTATTATGTTATAAGCTGTTAATTAAAGATGCAGGCTCATCAGGGCTTCCATATTTTGAAAGAGAAAATATTTTTTTTTCAACTGAATCTGGGCATTCTTCATTGTTTTTCTTCACTTTAGCATTTAAATTTAAAACCTTTAAAAAATGTATTTATTTTTGCCTGTTGTTTATTATACATATTTCATAAACTGTTCATTTCACAAAATGAATAAACCTACAAGTCCTCTGGTAAAAAAACAACTAAGAAAGGTGGTTAGAATTTTCCCAGACAAGCTGAAGAGCATTGGGTGATTTATAATAATATTAATGTAAGTGGTAACTGTAGTCTTAGTCGGCACAAAATCTCGACACAGTCTCATGTGGCAGAAGATATTCGGAGACGTCTCCAGCGAGCACCCAGGAAATATTCGGGGACGTACTCCCGCACACAGATGCACTGGTTTGGGGGGGGGGGGGGTGATGTCAAACTGCACATCGTTTGCTGCAGATCACGCGTATAGCCACTAAAACTGTCACAAATCAATTCTTTTCAAGAAAATTTCAAACCTTACTGAAAAATATCAAATTATGAATTAAAAGAGTAACCCTCCAGATTGTTTAAAATTTGGTCTAGAGGCACAACGCATTTCTAATTGGTCTATCTCCGTCGGAGACGTCTCCGGATAGATATTGCTACACATTGCAGTTCTCTCACATGTGAACGCTCCGTGCTACCAATATATAATATGAGCAATGGGGAAATATATCTTACAGTTCTCTCACTGTTGAACGCGCTATACATGTACTATCAATATAATATTATTAAAGGGATTGGACAGTTAGTATATCTTACATACTGTTCTCACAGGTGAACGCCCTATGCTTTCTATATTTGTGAGGGATGAGACAGTATACCAAACGGTCCTTTCACTAAGGTACAATGTATCACTCACCATGCTACCAATATGAATGAGGAATGGGACAGTATACCTAACGGTCCATTCACTATGCTACGTATCATGCTATCAATATTTGGTCACTTTTAAGGACTAGCGGGCTAACCCAGATATTTTCCTACCCATAGGAGAAGTTGGGCTTCATTGGTGTGCATACAATGTATTTGTTTGGTTATAGAGAAAACGTTCCTAGTCTTTTATAGAAACTGAACAAGGCTCCAAAATTTTATCTTCGATTGTCTCAAAACAGCATTGTTCGGGAGAGGCCTCTTGTGCTTAAACAACGACCATCTGTGAGGGGTGGGACAGTAAACATCCATATACCTTACAGTTCTCTCACTAGTGTACGCACCATGCTACCAATATTTGTGAGGGATAAGACAGTAGCCTGTATCTCACAGACCTTTCACTATGGCAAGCACAATGCTACCAATATTTGTGAGGGATAAGACAGCAGCCTGTATCTTACAGACCTTTCACTATGGTAAGCACAATGCTACCAATATTTGTGAGGAATCGTGGTGAAATGAAGCCCTTGTCAGAAAAATGAAATTGAATTGTTACAACGGTCTCCGTTAGCATGCACTGTATTTCATTTTATATTTTCACTCCGTCTCTACTAGTACTAGCTGTATTTTTTTTCTTATTTGTTCCAACCGTCTTCACGCGCTGTATTTTATTTTATGTATTCCAACCATCTCCATTTTCTGTATTTTATTTTATGTATTCCAACCATCTCCATTGTCTGTATTTTTTTTCCAACCGTCTCCACTAGCTGTATTTTATTTTCTGTTTTCTAACTGTCTCTACTAGCTGTATATTTTTTCTGTTACAACCGTCTCAACTAGCTTTATTTTATTTTCTACTTTCCAAATGTCTTCAGGCTCTTTTTTTATTTTCTATTTTCAACCGTCTCCTCTTGTTTATTTTCATTTTATATTTTCCAACCGTCTTTATACGCTGCATTTTATTTTTTTTATTTTCAAACCGCCTTCACTAGTTTTATTTTTTTTTTTTTTACTTTCCAACTGTCTCCATTTGCTGTATTTTCTTTTCTCTTTTTCAACCGTCTCACCTAGCTGTATTATATTTTTTTTTTTTTAACCGTCTTCACTTACCGTATTTTTTATTCATATCTGTCTCCCAAACGTCTCCACCAGCTGTATTTTATTTTCTACTTTACAACCGTCTTCACGCTCACTGATTCTAAAAGATTTTCCAACCGTCTGCACTAGCTGTATTTTATTTTCTCTTTTCTAAGCGTCTTCACGCATGTATTTTATTTTATTTAAAAAAAATTTTCAACCGTCTCCATTAGCTGAATTTGAAAAGCATAAAATAAAATACAGCTAGTAAAGACGGTTGGAAAATAGAAAATAAAGCACAGAGAGTGGAGGCGGTTGTAAAATATAAAATATAATACTACTAGTAGAGATGGTTGAAAAATATAAAATAAAATACAGTAGGTGGAAACGGTTGAAAAATCTAAAATGAAATACAGCTAGTGGAGACGGTTGAAAAATATAAAATAAAATACAGCTAGTGGAGACGGTTGAAAAATATAAAATAAAATACAGCTA